ATAGGAGGTACTTACTAAGTATAGATGTTTGTGAAGTTGAAATAAATTGAAACAGGTATTTTAGTATTTTCAAGATTCTTGGGGTCACTTTAACAAAGATAGGTTCTTATAATGATATGTTTTATTTATACAGCTTTGTCAATTTTCATAAAGCTTTTTTATCATGACGTTTTTCATTTGATGCTTTTGCTAACTTTGCTAGGTAGAGAAAGCAAGGATTATTATACTAATTTATTAAATGAAATAGATTGTACAGCTAGTAAATGGCAAACCTAGGAGTTTAATCTTAATATCTTGATCCCTACTGTTTTGATCCCTATATTGTTCTTGTCATTCAATATTTGATATCTAGTAGAATGTTATATATCAAAGTTTACTGTGGTAAGAATTTTAAAAATTATCTATTCCTATAAAACCTTTTAAAAACAGACTTATATAAGTACTTTATGAACTGAAACACATGTAAATCCTTCTACAAAGTGACCATAACTATTGCTGGCACATTTTAATATTATAAATTACAAAATATGTGTTTAAAAAAAGCAAACCAGAAAGGGAGATACAAAAATACATAGACATCATTTTCCTCTTAAAATATAAACTTAGAAAAGTTAGCTAAAGAGGAAAATGTTTTCATCTGTGCCAAGTATTACAGAATTTTTTAAAACTTCATTTAGAGACTCTTTAATGTTTGAAACTGATGAGGTCCAAATGAAAAGCTAGTTTCTTATTATTCATGATATTTCATCCATTATTAGATTGTAAAATTCTTGATGGTAGAGTTGTTGTCCTGCATATGTTTACGTGTATTTCAGTGCCTTGCTCACAGTAAGCCCTTAAAATAAATACTTGATGAGAGTTGAGCTTAATTTACTTTTAATATTTTGCTTTTGATGGTTTGAACTCATCTATGTAAAGTCTAAGAAGATAAAAAGAATAGGCACAGGTTATCACTTACTTTCTTTTCATTTTCCATATTCCTATAAAAGTATTAAAGTACAAACTAATCATGTTTCTTTCCTACTTAAAAACCTCTGAGTTTGTGAGATGGGGAAAGAGAAAGGGGCCAACCTTGAATTTTTATGTTATAAAGTCCTGATACATATGAATTTGTTGAAATAAGTGTACAGTATTTCACAGCAGGAGAGAAAAATACAATCAAATGTAAAACAGAGAAAAGAAAGAAAAACAAATGTCATAGTCTAAATCACTCATGGGATAAATTTGAACTCCTTAGCTATTAAGAGATAGATAAGGTCTTTAACCTAAAACTTTATCTCCCCACCTCCACCCTACACACACACACACACACACACACACACACACACACATTTTTACTCTCCAGTGTCATAGAACTATCATCTCTGAAGACACCTTTCTTTTTCCCTCCAGCTTGATTTTTCATTTGCACCGCACTCAACTTAGGAAGCCCTGCCCTTCCTCTTGTTTCCAATGAGGTTTCCCCAGGAATCAGCTCAAAATGCACCACTTCAGTTCAAGCAGAATTAGTGCTCTCTCTTTTGTATATCACAGTGCTACACTACACAACAGCTTCCCCTGTTAAATTGGGGTCAGAGCAAAAACAATGTCATGCTTTAGTTATATTTTTTTCCTTTCCGTCTCTCTTTTCCCTCCTGCTTGTGTCTGATGCATAGAAGGCATTCCATTATGCTTGTTGAATGAGTAAATTAATGAATGATTTAACAAATTAAAATCTTTTTCTAAGGTCTTAGTACTCATGTCTAGTGAATCAATATTATTAAGGTGGTTAACAGAGTAAAGGTCATTCATACTGAGAAGCAGTGTGGTAGATTGGATGAAACTCCAGCTTTGGAATGAGACAGATCAGAGTTTGTTTTTAGAATCCACCAATTCCTAGCAGTGTGACTTCTGACAAGTAACCTCACTCCAGTGAACTCCAATCATTTGATTTGTATAATGGGGCTAACAGTATCTACATTGCAGACACTTGAAAAGACCTAAGTGACCCAGCACAATATCTGGCAAAGAGCATGTGCTTATTACATGGAAACTGTTATTAGTCTCATCTGGTATGTTTCAGTTTAATATATTTGTTGTCAACACAGAACTTAGCGTTTGGCTATCTATGCTAGCTGTGTAATGCCTGCTATTTTTTTTTGTTCTTGACCACATCTAAGCCTTTTATGTTATACTTTAAATACTGTCTACAGTATCTAACAGATGGTAGCCACAGACTTGATTTTTAACTCTTGGGTTCAAATGGTGGATCATGGTGAAAAGAGGCACTGGAATTAAAAACAACAGGCAGGGATACACAGAGCTATTTTAAGTAACTCCCTTCTCTGGTCCTCAGCTCCTTAATCTGTAAAATTAAGATGAGGGCTTATTCTGTTTCAACATACAACATCTGTGATTCTATGATTAGATAATTCTTCCTGTTTGTGAAATAAAGAATTGTCCTCTAATTAAATAAGCTCCTGTAGCCAGATAGAAAAATGAAGGGTCCAGGTAGGTTGACCAAACATCTCAGTTTGCCTAGCACTGCTTCAGTTTTAGTGCAGAAAACCCTATGTCCCATGACTCCTCTCAGTCCCAGGGGAATCAAACACAGTTGATCTTCCTAGGTCCAGGGTAATTTGACCAATAAGAAACATGTTTTTCTTTGTGGTTGCTTAAAGTTTTTTTTCTCTTGAATTCCACATTGACAAATAGTGTTTGGTTTTAGGCATAAAGGTGAGCAACAGAGTAGGAGAAAATGCAAGAAGAGCCTATAGTATACAAAGAAGCCCCTTTCCCTGATAATTAAATGTCCTAGAATCAGTCACTGTATCAAACCTTTTATGTACAAGACACTGTGTTACATTTAACTGTCCAGGATAGAGATGTAGATTGTGCTATTCCTTCACCCAAGCTAAGTATGTATGTGTGTGGGTGGAATAGGGGGAATATAGGACATGTACCTAGGGAAATATACCTCACATACCACAGAGTAATTATAGTGCCAAAGTACATTTGAATGTTCAGGAAAGGAAGGGAAGGCCAATGAGGACTAGAAGAGGTGGAATATAAAGCTGCAGAGGATTTGCATGGGTTACGAAAGTGACTGGGCCGACAATCCAAGGGGTGGTGCTGCTACGTAATGTACAGGTCCTGTAGACCTGTTCTGGACCCCCAACTCTCATAAAAATCACCTTGGAATCTGAAAGAATTCTGAATGGAATCTGAGCCATTTGGTACACAGAAGAAAAATTTCCAAGAAATGAAAAAGGAAGTTTTTTGGATGATGACAGGGTTAGCAGAAGAATAAGGGAACTAGGGAAATGGAAGTACTACCCAAATATAGGAAATGGAACTATTAGCCAAACTCTTTAGAAGTTTTTATTTTGAATTTCCCCCTCATTTTTAGGGGAAAACTTAAGAGTCCCACTTAGTTCCCTGCTGCCACAATTTTGTTTAGCTTTCACCACACTGCATTAGGGAGGTTGCTGTAAGGGAAATGACAAAGATTTTGGAGGCCAAACAGGTCTTCATCACTTACTAGCTGTGTGGCTTTGGGCAAGTGAATTAGCCTTGCTTGGATTCTGTTTGCTCATTGCTAAAACAGGAGCAAACTACTTCACCAGATTGTTCTGAGGAGTAATGAGTAATGAGATTCTTCTGAGGAGTAATGAGATGATTAATGTGTGTGAAATGCCTGACATTGTAGCTGAACATATTAGTGGCTCAGTAATGGTAAGCCCCTCCGCTATTACCTTCTATGGTTATTTGACCATTTGTCTACATTTGTCTAAATAAGGGAAATAGTCCTCTTCTAGCAGCCTCAACGAGAGAGGCTCCCATGGAAAAGTTGAAAACACAGAGAAAAAGCATTAGGGTCTTCTTAGGCCATTCCTCAGATCTCACTTGGAGATTCTACCTCCTCCATCCTCTGCACCCTGGGTGGTGTGTGTGTGTGTGTGTGTGAGTGTGTGTGTGTGTGTGTGTGTGAGAGAGAGAGAGAGAGAGAGAGAGAGAGAGAGAGAGATGTGTGTAAGTCAAGACAGTAGTCCCTCTCAGGCATGTAAAGACATAAATTCCTTTCCCTGGCTTGACTTTCCATGTGTGTCATGCAGGCATCATGGTTAAGCAGTGTAGGGTAACTGGTATGTGTAGGAAAGGTACAGTTGGCCACTAACACTCTTCATGGGTTAAAATCTGATTCCTACCACCATTCTGTGCATTAGGAAGAGCAGATTAATCTTTAGTTCTGAGAAAAATTTGCCTGCTGCAAGGAAAAAGAACTTGTTACCTAACTGAAAGGGCTGGGTTGCTGAAAAGATCTCATTACTTGCTCCAGTGCACTTCTTTGGTTAACTTGTGAAGTCCAAGATGTTTGCCTTCAAAGCTGTTCAGTGTCTTTGTAGGTGCTCTTTTTATTTTTGTAGAAATTTCCCCTTCTTCTTACCCTTCTCTTCAGCATCCCAACCCTCCTGTAAACCCTCTTCAAACTCCTCTCAATCTCCCCCAAACCCTCTTCTCAATCTTACCTCTACCTTTCCCTTAATCCCTCCATACCTCACTCACTTTCATCCCTAACCGTTTCCTACTCTCTCTATGTTACCCTCTACGTCATTTCTCCATCATCTGCTGACCTATCACTATGCCTGGAATGTTTTGGTGCCTACCTAAACTTTGAACCTTTGCCAATTCCCTCTCTCCCTACCAATTTACTACTACTCTGTTATCTCTTCTTTTTGGTAAGCAAAGAAATAATTCAAAGAAAAGTAGAAATTGCAAATGTTTATTTTTTAAAATATTACTTATAAACTTATTTTATGTAAAAGATGTTGCTATTTTTATGATATAGAAAATATTGATTAAAAAATCAAGTCAGTTCAACAGCTACACTTTTTCATTGTTAGTTTCTAATCTAGTCTCATGCATATTGTTAATATAAATTGTAGTTAAAACAATCCCACAGAATGCAGGGTTCTGAGAGAGAGTCATGCAGAATTACTGAAAAAAAAAAAGAAGCTCAAAGTCATCAGGTTCATTCCATCATCCAAGTGGCAGAGTCTTTGTACGGGTTGCCTTAGTTCATAGCAAGAGGTTCAGTAGAAGACTCAAGGAGCAGCAATGCTTATGTCTGTCGAGATAACAGAAGACAGGTTCCCAGGAGCAGTCTGTAGGATGTAGGATCTATCCAGCAATTATTTCATCATGATTTCTTCTATTCCATCTGTGCCTGCAGCAATTGCAGTGACAATAATGTGAAGGAAAGAACACAGAGAGGGTACTCCATTCTATATTTGGGTCATGTATCTCAAGCCAATGGATTCCAAGAATCAGAGGGTAGCATGGTGTATGAATAATGTCAAACTGGAGTTCTTCAACATGGTTTCCAATTTTAACTTTGACAGGTGGTGTTTCCTTGGTTATGGGCTCATTAATAAGTGGATGGCCATCAACAGTTTCCAGCATCAGAGGGAAGATATTATTGTGGATAAGCATCTTCTCCTGAAGAACCACAGTATGATCAATGCTGTTTCTGTAGGAACCCAAATCTACCATTGCTTGCTCAAAGAACCGTCATCTTCCCAGTCAGATTTCAACAGTAAGCCATACTGTATGAGACATGGATATTGGAAGAGAGGGCAATGCATATTTGTAGACTGGCCCACCTGGGGCCCCCCTTACTGGCAGGCCTCGATGTTTCCTGCCTTCAGGGCTTGATGAGGCTTGACAGGACAATCTCTGGCAAAATGACCAGGATAACTGCAGTAGAGGCATAAGTGGCCTTTGCACCGATGGGCCCATTCAGCTTCGCTGAGGTGTGGGCAGTTGATTGCAGTCTGCGTAGGATGGTTTTCAGCTGGTGGACTCTCAGGGACATCTTCCTCTTCAGAGGAGCTTTTCCCTAATGGACTGGGATCAGGCTTCTCTTCTAGGATGATGCACTGCGTGAGGAGATCAGATAGGTTGATGGCTGGCCTTGTGTGAGACAGTTCATCTCGTATAGAACTGGCAAGCCCTTCTTGAAATTGGATGCAGAGACTGCTTTCATCCCAGTTCAGCTCTTGAGCAACGAGGTGGAAGTGGGTTGTTACATGACCCTCCCCTTGGCAGAGTTGACAGAACCAGTGGTTGCATCTTCCATGGATTATCAAAAGTTTTCTGGATTATCAAAAGTATCCTGGAGCACATGTATAAAACTTTCAAATTGCTCTGGTAAGGGGCTTTGGATATCCAGTAAGGGCTGGAACCAACATCCTGCCTTACCTGAGAGGCAGTTGCCAACAAAGTTCAACAGGGCTGCTTCAGTGGGATACAGGTTACCTCTGACTCTCATGTAACTACTATTCAATTGAACAAGGAACTCAGAAAGCTTCTGAGAATCCCCATTGAAGGTTAAATGGTGTTCCAGGGAGAAAGCTGCAGCTTCGAACCCAGTAGGGGCCTGTGGAAATTCTGAAGCTGCTAATGTCTCCATAACTATTAGACCCTCCAGGGACTCTTGGACTGCTGAGAGTTCTAAGAATTCCTGGGCATTTGAAGGCTCCAGAGGCTCCTGGGGAAGTGGAAGCTCAAGGAACTCTAGCTGTGCTGCAGTCTCCTGGCATTCTGATGCCTCCTGGGGCTTCTCAACATTTAGAGGATCCTGAGCTTCTGAATTCTTGGGCTTACGGGCCAACGTGCCATCCTGGCTGTCTGCAGGCCCCTGGCTCTCTAATACTGCAGGGATCTCATGGGCCATTGGCTCCAGGGGCTCTGGGGCTGCTGAGGCCTCCTGGAACTCCCAGGCTGCTGGGGGGGGGGGTGTCCCAGGGTGGAAGCTCCTGTAGCTCTGAAGGCTTCTGGGGCGCTTTGAACTATAGGGTCTTTTGGACCTCCCAGGCTGCTGGGGAATTCAGGTGCTCTGGGAAGTTCTGGGGCTCCTGGGCCTCTGAGGACTTTTGGAGTAGGTCATCCTCCTTGGCTCCTTGGACTTCTAGAGCTCTGGGATCTGGGCCTGGATGGCAGAATTTTCTTCCATCAGCCACTGCACTTGAGCTTGCAGAATTTCATTCTCCAATTTTAGAGCAATATAGGAGGCTGCTGAGTCCTCCACCATCTTTTGAGGAAATGGGTATGATTTGACAATATGCTACCAAGAGAGATTAGATGGGCATTTGTGAGATCTATCCTGAAATCTGCTTACAGGTAGATGTCAGGCTCAGTAGTTTTCCAAGGGGTAGGGATTTGGGCCCCTCCAAAGCTGATTGCCAAGAGGTCACTGGGAGCCTCCAGAGCTCAGCAAGGAGGAGCATCAGGAGCTCAGTAAGGGGAGGTGTCAGATACGGTGTGAAGAGAGTGGGAGCTGAGAATCAGAAACTGTGGAGAGCACACATTCAACATAAATTAGAACAAAATCTGCCCAACAATGCTGGGTTTCTTTTACCACAGGCTCATGTTCATGAGCTGGGGCATATATGCTGGATCTGACTCCATGACATTTTAAGAACAGGACCTATCCCAGGCTGTGCATATCATTTTGCATTCATCCTTTGAAAGTTAACATTATATATAATCAAAAGCAACTTTTCCACATATTATTTTCTGTTTTGTATAGTCTTTAATTTTGAATGTCTGCCTAATATCTCAATGTAACATTTAGATTTTAACAGCTGCTTTCAGTGACTAAATCAAGTGTTTGAGCAATGTGGGAATTTTAGGCTCTGCAGTGAGCCAACCTGAGAGATATTTTTGGGTGACTAGGGTAGGAAGTAGGAGGGAGCTCTTTCTGACACCTCAGAAATCATACCACATAAGTAACCACACAAGATCAGCCTCAGGAGAAAACAAGCAAAAGTTGACTAAATATATACATGCCCTCAGCAAACTCATTCATATTATTTATAAAATGCCTCAAAATAGTTAAGAAAATAATCTTTATAAATATACATTACCATTCAGAGGCTTAGTCCAGGAGCTTGGCTGTCTGCACACCCATCGCTGAAGAGGGAAATGTGTAAAAGCCTGTGGAGGCTTGCCTTTTCTGCACACATTGAACTCAAGCAAACACATCCACTCCCAGAATACGTTCCAAATCTCCTTTGTAACATAGCTTTTTAAAGTGTGGAAGAGTTTTTTGACAGTACCTCACAGTTCAGAGCTGCAAGGAAAGTAGCATGCTGTGCTGATGTGAAGCAGCTTTATATACTCAGTCCTTGGTTACTTTAATGAATATTTGGCCAGGAAATTGGGATTAATACCACCGCCCTTGTGAAAAGTTGCAAATATTTTTGAATGACCACAGTGGTTTGGGATGTGATTTTTTGTGTCTGTCTCATGTAACCTACTTTTACTCTTTCCACATTAGACCGTTTGTTTACTTCTCACTCAGGGAACAGACTGCAAACCCTCAGCCCCTTCCCTCGCTTACCTATTCAGTCCCTAGGCTTTTTCTTTGCAATGTTTCCCTGGAAAATTTAACATGGACAAATCTAGAAAAGGTATAAAAGGTCACAAAAGTCATGGAGGCCAACTGTGTTGATGGGTACTAATAGCAGTCTTACAGAGTCCCTGGCTCTTTCTGAATGTCCTGGACCAAGGATCTCATGCTTCCCTGATCTGATCAGGTGTCACAGGTAGCACTCAGGAAGTCCACTAAGGACTGGCCTCTTGGGAAGTGACCCTGATCAGAATCTCACTTTTGGGTATGTGCCATGTGGCCATTTTGGGCAAGGTTTAGGGCAACTATTTTGACCCAAGTAACCAGTGGGGTTAAGGATTGCATTTGGCCATTTCAAATCATGCATCGCGTCAACCATGGTCCTAAGTCTCCTTTACAAATGGTCAGTTCTGTGTTAGTTAGCATAATGGGATAAACCCTGGTGATGGCACAGTCCCAAAGCATAGCAAATTGACAGACTGGGCTACCTGAATCTGAATGCAGAGGCTTTGAAAATAAAAGCAAAATCGTTTGCAAATCAAGTTTATTCTCTTCTTATCTTTCAAAGTTTTATATTTCTAGAAACACAACACGTATAAAAATACCACCATCAGCAGGGATGATGTGTTCTATTTATGTGAATTTTTCAGATAACCAAAGCCTTTCTGCCATCCAAGATGACAAAATACACATACTTATTTTACCCAGCAGGAAAAGAGAGCTTCTAACACCTGAATTTGTAGCAGGCTTAGATAGGGGACAACTATTAATTGAAACTTTTTCCTAATGCTTAGTGATTTCTGTAACAATGAGTTTGAAGGTCCAGTACTGGATATCAAGTTGACATTTAATAAATAGCATTTCAATTAAAAAAATCAGAGAAGTATTTATAGCATATGTTATATCTCTTCATCCACTCTTAAGAAATGATTTTGTATATAATTTAATTTAGATTTAATGGTTTGAGGTCATACTTACCCAAACCAGCTAGTTTACCCTGTTGTAACAAACACAATGTTGCCTTCTGAAAGCTACTGAGAGGTATAAAGTGCTCTGTCTTCAAATTAAAAACTTCTGAATTACTATGCTTCCCAACTTCTTGTATTTTATTTTCCTTTATATTTCTCTACTCTTTCGCAATCAAGTTGTAGCCTAGCCTTTCAAGTTATTACCTATAAGTTTGTCTTTACTTACTCTATACAAATTTGGCAAATTACTTTATCCTTCTGATATTAAGAATCCTTAGTTTATGAAACTGTAAAACGAAGCTATAAACATTATTTGACTTTATAGGGTTGTCAAAAAATTCAGCGAAATAATGTGTAAAAAGAGGCTTAGCATAGTGTCTGTCAGCTAATAACACCCAATAAAAGTTAATAATAACAATAAGCTGTAGCAGCAGTAATCTCATTTTAATTTATTCTTTTTAATCATCTGCGAATTGGGAAACTAAATAGGTAAACATACTAGAGTTGTGTAGAGGCTGAGCAAGGGTTCTCATAATAAGAAATCTACAGTGCGTCGACTTTATAGCATTGATTTTTCACCATTTGGGAACTTTTATCTTTTCTTCCTTGCTGGCTTATGGATGGTTTTGTTTACCAAATAGTTCTTTAGAATCAGGACTGGAGGCACCTGAGCAGGAAGATTAGCTGATTAAAATTGGAATTGTGAAGCAGCCAAGAGAGATGTTTTAAAAGTTCATGGACTAAATCACTGAAAAATACCTTGCCTACAGACATATTTATTCAGTGTCTAAACACAGAGATCTTCATTTCCCCAGCCCCCTACACTAAAGAGCAAAGATCAAATTCACCATCCTTAAGTACAAGTTCAAACTGCCTAAACATTGAGAATTATTCTTTTCTGGGTAGAAAAAGGAACTACACTGACTTTTGTCAAAATGCCTAAAGTAGTTTTAATATCCTGAACTAGTCAAGTGAGAATAGGAAAGTAAGAATAAGAAAGTAGTCACATCCAAATTTTCATCATGTTTCCCTTACACTGTAATTCTTCTTCATACATTCACAGCATGATGGGATTTATGTATTATTTAGAATGGTCACGAAAAAAATTTAAGTAAATAATGTTTTGTTAACTGTGCAAATGAATATTTCAGGAAGAAAAGAGACAAATATGCTCATTTAACAGATATAAAAAGACTACACACTAATAAATATTCAGGCTTAGTTATGCTAATAAGCTGCATATGCTGATTGTTAGCTTAGGGAGGAAAGGAAAGAAGAGGTTGAATGCAATGCAGTTCTACTTTGTACAGCCCACTGACTCATAATTTTCTTTTGTCAGCAAATATACAAATTAAAGGTTTTAGGTCTCTGCCAGGGTCTTTCTCCCCTAAGCTGGCAGGGGTGCATCTTTGAGCAACTCCAGTTTCTGTCCCTCCGTTTTTCCCACCCTGGAAAGGAGTCAACAGGACAGGTGACCCTACAGGTTTCTGGCACAAGGCCCAGTCACCCCTTGGGGGCAGTCCCATCCTGGTGTCTGTTTTATTTAACATATTATTCCTATGGTTATATTATAGTTTGCAACACTTCCTTAAAAATAACCCATAAGGTGCTTAGTACAGACTGAAACTTTTCATTGTCAGCGACACCTCATAATATAGCCCTGGGGCGGCAGGAGTTCCCAATTCTTCTGGAAATTAGAAGGCTACCAAAAATTCTCTTTACTCATAAGACCAGGACCCAGAGAACTTGGTAATGGTATGGAAACAGTCTATCCCACACAAGAGTCAAAATTTGTCACTCCTCGCCCTTTATGAAATTTATGACCTTCTCATTTTATTTCTTATCCCATACTTAGGAGGCTTTTCCCCTTCATCAGCTGTCACATTGGAAAAGTAAATCTCTATTGGAATACTGCCTCATAAGGCTTTAAAAAATTTTTCTTGGGGGTGTATGCATTTTCATAGGATATTTTGAAAGACTGCAATTCCTTCAAGACTCTCTGTTAGTCAGAGATATTATTTTGGTGTCCTTCTATTTACACCTTGTCAGTGGCCTTACAATTGATATCCTTATAAAATTGACCCAATATAGACCCTAGTGTTAGCAGCAGATATGCTTAATTATTTTAATGCTCTGGTTTCACTAAATACTGGTGAAGGCACCATGGTGCCATAGTTTCGTCAGCCCTGGCAAGGAACAAGGGAATGGGAGGACTTTGCTATAATCCTACTTCTAATGATGCACTTATTGTAGAGATCTGTCCTTCTCCTCTACTTCCTGGACCTCTACTCTCTGGGCCCTACCAATGCTGGTTCATCCAGAAGTCAGACTAAGTTTAAGCTAATTGTACCAGAAAAGCAGGAGAGACGGGGAGAGACAGGACAGAGGGAGAAGGAGGGAGATGAAGGGCTAAAGATGGAGAGATGGGATAAGGGAGATGGGAAAATCTAGAAGGAAGCTTAAAACCTCAGCATATGTACATTTTGGTCAGTTAAAGATAAAATTTAATTTTATAGTTTAGCATTTTAAAAATTAAATAAAATGAGGCATTATCTTTTAAGTGCTTAACTTTACCTCTACTGGTCTTAATTAGTTCATAGTAAGTGATAGGCCTTTAAAGGTTTGCTGACTGCGGAAGGAGTGATGGTAGAGCCTCATTGAGACTGAAGAGGATGGTAAGAGTGTAGAAGTAGCAGATACAGGAGTAAATGG